CTTAATCGCTTTGCGGAAGGCCAGAAGAGTAGTAAGGGTCCGGATCTCTGCAGGTAGATCGTTCCACAGGGCCGGCGCAACAACAGAGAAGGCCCTTCCCCGGGGAGTCACCAGCCGGCATTGTCCAGCTGACGGCACCCGGAGGAGGCCCAATCTCCTCCTCCGATCTTGTAGGTCGTTGGGAGGTAAGTGGCAGGAAGCGGTCTCACAGGTTTGGAAAAGAGACAAACGGAATGTCTACCAAACTCTTGTCGTCTCATAAATTCTCAGGATTTTTTTTTATGGAAGTCACAAGAATTCGAATAGTATTAAAGCAGGAAAAGTATTGCACAATGGATAGAAATAGGGTTCTACTGAATATTTCCCTAAAAAACAGTCAATCATCCAAGAGTAAGAATCATATGAAATTGTCCTTTATGAAGCAATTCTGCTTCCATTATCAGGCCCCTGAAATATATATCTCACAGCCACAATTATTATTCCTATGATAACAGGGATCTAGGTTTTGCCAAAAAGGGGAACATCATGACTTTCATTCAAATAATTTACTGGGTTCTTACTTATGTAAATAAGTACATGTTTTAGTTTGGATATTAGAATACTTAATACCTTTACCACAATTCTGTAAATGGTATTTGGTGGATATCGGACTCAGATTTACTAAAGTCTGATTTTGCTGGACTAAAATTCTGAACCTTCCCTGAAAATGAGCCAATAGTAAATCACAGACTTTTTAGCTATTTTTAACTGATTTGATATAAATGGGTATGTTTTCTTGCTCTGTCACTTGCTACCAATGGAAATATATTAATATTTCTGTTGATAACACTAGGTAATCTGACTTTATTCAGATACTTTGGATTGCCATTTCTATACTCTGAACCACTAGCGATCTTGTTTGGGACCTATGGATTGCTTCCCAGTGCATACAGGAAACTATTAAAGACTTGACTGATCTCCTGGGCTTTGGGGTAAGGTCTGTGTGTGTGTGTGTGTGTGTGTGTGTGTGTGTGTGTTTGTTGTGTATTTGCTTGCTTTAAGTCACTTAGGGTCATTTTATTTATTACTGGTTAATTGTAAATTGTCCAGAATTGTCATCTACCAGCTTTTAAATTGTACAAATAAAATAAAATGAACAGCCAAGGGGCACAGCCTGAAATAAGAAATGATCAGAATGTAAAATGAATAACTGCCTTAACAGCAGCCAGTGAATCAGTGCACTATAAACCAATGGATTTAGGCAGGAGTGTTTTGAGAATGGTTTAAATACTATTTAACAGTAACAGGGAATATGAGTTCCCTTTCACAGCATTGTAAAGCAAGAAGCAATGACTCCTGTCTCTGTAATTACGGTATTGAAAGTCAGGCTTGCTTCTTAAAGCTGGCTCTGGCTTTCCACTGGCATCTATTTCAGGCTATAGAAAGGCATATTCAACTTTAGCAGTCTATGAGCACCCGTAGCTGCTAAGAAACCCTTACCAGTTTGCAGACAACCATATTAATCTGCTAAGGCAGCATTTTTCCAATATATTTTACTAGGAGCTTAAACACCACTGAATAGAATTAGGGCTTGATAAAACAAGCATAATAATTGCATCATTAGTTTTCCCAGTATAAACATTGTGCAGAAGTCCTGCATCATGGGTGTAGAAGTATATCAAAAGCAAAAATTATCAAGGATGGTAAGGCAAGGGCATGAATGATGAAGAATATTCAGGACCCTACAGTGCTTCTCAAGGAGAAAAAACAGTGCAGGTACTCAAACAATCCAGAAAATTCAATTATATACAATTAACTTTAAATTTTGAACTATAAGGAAACAGAAACTCACTACATGTAATAGACTGTTTTTAAAGTGGGTTTCTAAGGGTTTAAAGTGGTTTTATTATTATTATTGTAATACCTTTAAAAAACCACTTTAAACTTTTAAAAAACCACTTTAAAAACTATTACATGAATAGCAAGCAAAAGGAGAACTTTTATGTATGCAGGGAAGATATGTATGATATTAAGTAAAAAAGGAAAGATTATTTGGAATTGCACTGCCAAGAAAAAAATTCAAGTCAAAGGCAATTAACTATAAAGGCACAAGAACAAAGATTAAATGAGAAGAATTTTCAGCTGCAACCTTATTTCCTAAAAAGTCTTTTATGTCTCCAGAAAGAAATAAGAATGTGGACTGTGGCTGTTAAATCAAGCACAGTTAGGTTTGGGTAAATGGGAGCTATACTTCCACTATATACCCAGACTCCTCTGGATACCCAAGCCATGGGTATCCGTGGGAGAAGCATGTAGGGAGAATAAAATTGAAATTCCCTCCTTGTCAGTTATTTTTGTATTTGGCTCTTTTATTTCATTCATTCATTCATTCAATCAATCAATCAATCAATCAATCAATCAATCAATCAATCTAACTGCTAATCTTCCATTTGTGATTCTGAGTTGGTCCTAGGATTAAAGTTAACCAAATAACACAACCATTAAATTTTTTTAAAAATCAGAAAAAACACAATAGACCTTTTTGCTCCCCCACTAAGCTCTTCAAATGTAACTACTTGGAGGGATGTGGGTTTGTGTACTTCTTCGGGAAGTGTTGCTTCAACTTAATAGCTGTGCTGTTCTTTTCATGAAACTGTTGTTCTTTCATATATTCTGTGGCACATCTTGTATACCAGCTATGCCCTGACAATGGGATTGGGAGAAAATAAGGGGAAGGAGAGAGGCCATTTCATGTGGTCCAATGTGTTTAGAATACCAGAGTTACATAGAAAACATTAGAACATATAACAAGCAACCTTTTAACAATGGAATAAACTGCCATGGAAAGTGATCAATTCTTCTTTATGAGGAGTTTTCAAAGCAAACTCAGGATGCTAAATTAAAACCTCCCATGCCACATCGTTTTCACTTCCCAATTGTCAGAAACAGTTTCAAACCAACTTCAGTTGTTCTCACACTGCTGACCTCGAGAAGTCAGAAAACAGCAAAGATTATCACCCGTTCAAAACTCTGCCCTCTGGTGCTGTGGGTTCTGCCACTAAACACGATCGGTCAATTCCACTCTACAGAAAAGAGAAATGAAAACAACCTCTAGTAACTACCATTCATGTCCTTACTTTATGTTGTGTAAATTTGTTTGGTCATGTGTAAAGAATCTTGCCAGAACTGCTGCAAAATTGGCCAGCCGCCATTAGAGAAGAAGACAAAGGAATGTGAGAAGGAGTTTCTTCCCAGAAGAATTTTGGGCTCCCATGGGCTTCATAGAGTTACATAATTTAAAAGGGTCTTCAAAGAAAATACTAGCTTTGTTGCAATTTCAACTCCATTGTGGGGCAGCTGGAAATATATGTAAGTTGATAATCACTGCAGAGACTCATATATTGAAGCATGAAGATATGCTTTCCAAACCTCATATGCCGCACAATATGTTCACACCTTAAAACAATCCTAAAGTTATATAAAAAATACGGTAATCAGGTTTTCACAAAACTTGGGGTGTTTGTCACAAAAGGAAATGGAAGAGAGAAAAACAGGTGGAATCAGAGTGTTGGGAAGCAAAAGCAGTCCCTGCCTTTGATTACAGATTGTCATATCTATGATCCTTTTGGTTTCAAGCCATCTTCCCCATTTCCTATGATGGCCACCGAATTCTTTATTATTATAAGGACCATACATTATGGTTAAGCCTGAACTGAAGTTAAAATATTTCATAGTCTAGCAATTCCAGCACACAAGATTTCCTATTCCGTGGTGAGTATGGAATGCATAGTAGAAACACTGTGAAGACATCCTGCTTAGCTGAAAATTGCTCCCATAAGGTTACATTTCGTGGCTTTTTAACATCAACATTGATTCTTGATGGTTGGAGGACTCCAAGGTAATACTAGATGTAGCATATGCTGCTCTAAGAATGTGTGTAGTCATGCAACATGATGTCCAAAATGACAATAATGGAGGGTCTTGAAATCTTCTCATTCATTCAGGTTGCTCAGGAGGGAGCCTTATCTTGGCAAGGGACCAAGAAGGGCTTCATGTCTGGGAATCAACCCAAAGTTTAAGGCACAGTGTATCAAGGGACAGATTTTCTCATGGTTCCTCAGCACTTCACTCAGATGTTTCACTTCATCTGTCAGCTTTCCAATCTCCCTTTTTAGAGATGTATTCTCTTGTTCAAGGCATTCATATTCCTGAAATAATTGATAAAAATAAGAAGATCAAGCATGCAAGCAAGAATCCATGATTATTTATTGTTTTTGTTGAACTATTCTTCATGAAGTGCTTACATTCTCAAAAGGAAGTTTAAAAATAACCAAAAAGACAATTAAAATGTAGAATAATCTGAAATATATATTTAACTTGAAATTTACATAACTCCTAACTTATTTTCTTCCCAATCTGGTTTACACAAGACATTTTTCCCCAGCAGGTTTTTAGTGTATCTTAATTTTACCTACCTAAGGTATAGTTTATTTATATTGTGCTATTTAAAATATTTCTATAGGAAATTACCATTAAACTAATATCTAAGTGGCAGTGTGGAGCAAAATCAAATAGAGTAAATCATACAGTGGATATTTTTTTTCCAAGCCAACCATTACTTTTAACATAATTTGTATAATAAATATTATAAAATCAACAGAAAGTATCTCAGAAGATCTCAGCCAAGGCAAATATGTTCTCAGAAGTGGAACCATGGGGTTGGACAATCCAAAGGGGAGGAGCCTAGCTGGGAAAGTCCTTTATTGGTCAGTATCTAGAGAAGGAGCTACCATAAAGGAAATCTCCCTTCATTATCTTTAGCATCCAGTAAAAGGAATAGCTTTGGCTGTTCTTTTCAACTGCACTGATATCTTATTATATTATCAGTTTAAACAAGGGGTATAAAATATAAGATTTCTGATTTCATATTCCTTGCTGTAAAAATTGCAATTGTACTTTTTAATTCAACAATGGTAAAAAATCACAAAATATGTGGAGAACAATTTTACAGATAATTAAGCTAACTTCTATTTGAACATAAATTAAATTAAATCAGCTCAAATTCTGCTTTTGCTTTATTCTCTATATTTGGAGGGGGCTCTTGGCCATTACCTGGATTTCCCTGGGTTTTGTGCTGTTTCATGAGCCTCATGTGAGTTGACTGAGTCAGGTCTTCAGACACTTCAAAAGGCTAGGAGAGCGGGGACTCTTTTCCTGAACCCCCCAGTTGAAAGTGTTTAAGTGACAGGATCCAGAACATGCCTTCCTTACCTGAGTGAGACAAATTGATGTGATAGGGATGAAACCAGAGGTGATATTCAGCAGATTCTGACCAGTTCTGGAGAACCGGTAGCAGAAATTTTTGAGTAGTTCGGAGAACTGGTAAATATCACCTCTGACTGGCTTCACCCACATCTAATGTCTGCCTCCCGAGTCCCAGCTGATCAGGACGAAATGGGGATTTTTCAGTAATTTTCCCTTGCAGTGGGGAGGGAATGGAGATTTTACAGCACCCTTCCCTTGCCATGCCCACCAAGTCGCACCCACAGAACCGGTAGTAAAAAAAATTGAATCCCATCACTGGATGAAACAGTTCCTCAGATAATGTAGGCCCATGAAAAAATTGCTTAGGTGCTGATGTAAACCACCAAGGGCAACTTTTGAAACTTTTGAATTGAAAACAGGCATTAAATATAATGATAAATAAAACCTCTATATTTAGAGGTGTTATGCTGTAGCTTTAAATGTCACAGCTGTGGGGCAAATTGGGAAGAAAAACTGGCTGTAGGTTTTAACTTGGAATGACCTAGCAGGCTTTTCTGATTTATTTCTGTGGGAACACAGCACTTAAATCAGCTCTCAGCAGCACACAGGTGGTCACAGTTCAAAATGCAAAACTCGTGGATGCAAATACTGAATGGCTATTTGACATTCTCAGTCCAAAACATTTGTGAATTCTGTCATGAAGGCGGCTCTTAGAAGTGTGTTAATACACCATTCCAAAAGAAATGCAGCACAAAACAAAAGAGGGACAGAGATTTTTTTTCTTTTAAAAAGAAAGCATGCATTAATTTACATGTAAAGATATATCGTTAAATGACAGTAATTTAAGGAGACAGGGGAAAGATTATGACCCATCATCCTCAGAGAAAGGACTATTTCTGTGAAAATCACCTCTTGGTCATCAAATGTGGATTTACTTCACTGCTTGGCTGATGAGGGCATAGATATAGACCAAAAAAGTAGAAGATAAATCCACTGATTGAACACTGAACATTGGAAGTTTTGGATAAGCAAGGATTCCCAATTCTTTAAGAATAGCAGAACTAAAGGTATCTCCAATAATTATTCTGATGGAATGAAACAAACGTGAAGATGAAACAAACTCAGAATGGGCATATATGTTTTCAAGATGACAGCTCTTAGTGTGGTCCAACATCTCTTGCTGTTATTCCACCTTGTACTAACTTATTTTCCTGGTAAGCAAAAAAGACTGATGAACTGGAAGGAAAAGACAGAATTCCAACCATAGATATGGATTTATGCACCTCGCTAAACCATTACCTATTTAGGATTTACAGCAAGAAAGTGAAACTTGCCAAGGCAAGGATATCTTTGAGAGACACTTGGGGGACTACCCTTCAGAAGTAGGTGGGGCTGAATTTTTAAAAAAATGGTCAGAGCTGAACTTTAAAAATTCCAGACGTGCACATTTGAGCATGCACATACAAATGCATATTCTTCAGGACCAAGGGGGTAACTGGGGAAGTAGGACAGCAGAGGCAGAAAGTAAGGGGATAGAAATGTACCTTTGAGCTTTTGGAATGGTGGCAGGGGTCTATAAGAAAGCCAATGAGACATTATAGGCCCGCCTAGGAATTTGGTCATCCCAGTTGTAAACCTACAGTTTTCTGAGTAATCCATAGATGCTCAATCAATTTGCTCAATCTCCTCATCCATAAAGAGTGGATTACAAATCACAATGAAAGGATCTGCATGCCAGGATAAACCAAAGAGACTCTCATTTGGAAACCCTTAAAAAGGACCAGATGATCCAATCACCAAAGGACCCTCAGAGCCTTCTTGAATGAGCTCAGTTCTCTTGCATGGGAAGGAAGGGTCTTTGGCACTAGACTTCTAGCAAAAAAGAGAAGTTACTTTTAGAAACATCAAATTTCCCCGTGCCTGTGTGATGTCAATTTCAACTAAAGCATGAATGAGATGTCATCTTTTGAGTTCCAGCAAAAGAAAGGAAAGCGAGTGGGACTTAGTAAAGAATTGCTTTACAAGGCAAATGTACATCAAGTGGCTAGTTTCCCCCTTGATTTGAATGTGGCTGAAACAGAAATGCACCAATGTCCTTAACAAAAAAGAAATAGAAAACAAAAGCCAAAACTGCTCAGCCACCATGACCAATATATTCATTAACTGACTTACTGTATACATGAAGTCACAAGAATGGATGAATAATGTGCTTTCTTCCATGGAAAGGACATGTTGGACTCTGGTCCACCACCCTTATTCATCATTTTACTCAGGTATATTCATAATTGCTCATATGAAAGCTTTGAAGCATTGATAACAATCTCAATCTTGGCCAACACCCAAGATGTTGTGTGCTATTCTACACTTAAACTCAATTCTTTAGAAGCCAGCTTATAAGCATCAATTCTTCAATTGGAAAGGAGAACATGAACAAATGTTGCAATGATTAAACATGCAAGAAAGGGCGGGGGAAGACTTGGTGTTTTTTTTAAAATCACAATAATATTACAAATTGCTTCTCCTGCTCAGTTGTATGACTATCAGTTAGAACAAGACTGTTTGGAAGATGTTTCTGGGCATAATAAGATATTAGAATAAGATTCTAATATCCTGTTTCTGTTTGCATAGTTTAGGCTACTATCCAGGAGTGGGATAGAAAACTTTTAGCAACCAGTTCACTGCCCGGTTGCTGAGTGGGTATGGCCATTGGGGCGTGGTCTAATCGGCCTCCTGCACCCTGGCGGGGGGGGGCATTTTCACCCTCCCCAGGCTTTGGAGGCTTTCCTCAAGCCTCTGGGAGGGTGAAAATGGCCTCAGCTCCAGATGACCTCCGGAGGCCAGAAATGGACCTGTTTCTGGAATTCTGGTAAGCCCATTTTTCGCCATCCCCAGGCTCTGGAGGCTTTCTTGAGCTTCCAGGAGGGCAAAAACAGCCTCCCGCAGGCTCCAAAGACCCATAGAGGCTGGAAACGGGTCTGTTTCCTAACTTCCAGAACTTCCGGGTGGCCCGTTTTTTGCCCTCCCAGAGCCTCCACGTGGGCCCTGCACTTACCTGGCAAACAAAACAGGCTGTGTGGAGACTCCTGGGAGGGGCAGGGTGAGCCAGTCCTTACAACTACCAGTTCGGCAAACCAGATTAAAATTAACATCTGATTCACCCAAACCAGTCTGAACCGACTGAATCCCACCCCTGCTGCTATTCTAAAAATGCCAAGCTGGTCTGGAGCAAAACACTAAACTGTATGAAAAACAGGATAAAAAGGCACCCACACATGGACATTCCATATTCATAAGCTCTGAGGTGACAAATGACTTCAGCATGCTGATGGTAAGATAGGGGCTCATCCACACAACCTTCTTGTTTTGTGTGCCACAATGGCTTGCTAACTGTTTGCTGAGGAAAGTGTGTATTAGTTCACATAGTTTTGAAGAAAAATATGAGCAACAGGAGACAGGGTGGGAGTTTATAAAAGTATAAACCAGGGAGATGAAGAGTAAAAAAAAAAGATGGTAAATGTTTCCTTTGTCCAATCATGGCTGACTTTATTGGGTGGTGATCATCTCCATTTCTTAATCGAGAAAGAGGGTAAGTAAAGAGAGAAATAACTTGATCCTGATTCAGAATATGATAAAACTCCCTGTCACTTTCCAAAATTTACAGTGCGTGTAAATCCAGACAAATCTGTACTTTTTCATGAGCTACTGTATTTTTCAGAGTATAAGACACACCGGAGTATAAGACGCACCAAGGTTTTGAAGAGGCAAATTACAAAGTTTTTGCACTCTGCAAACCTCCCAAAAACTGCCCCATTTTTTGCGAAAACGAGCACATTTCCCCCCCAAAATGGCATGGACAGGGGGCTTGCAGTGTGCTCCTGCGGGGGGTGCCCCCCAAAATGAGCAAAAAATGGCCCATTTTTTTCAAAAACGGGCCCATTTTTCATTAAAAAAGAGGCACGGATAGCCTTTAGGAAGTTTATAGAGTACTCCTGGGGGCTGGGGGGGGGGTAAAATTGAACAAAAAACAGGCATTTTTGCTCATTTCTGCTCTCCCCAGCCCTCTGGAGCTCTCTAAAAGCTTCCTAGAGGCTATCCACATCCTGCATGACCATTTTTGCAAAGGGGGCGGGGTTTTGGGAAGCAAAAAATGCTGTATTCAGTGTATAAGAGGCACCCAGATTTTCAGCCTCTTTTTTAAGGGGAAAAGGTGCGTCTTATACTCCGAAAAATACGGTATATCTGTGAAATTCAGGGCCTCAAGCGTTCGTGACAGTCAATAGCTTAGCAACATCAAAAAAGTGTTAATGGAGGAACAACATCTAAATATGGATGCTCTATGATTAGAAGCAGCATACTGCCAATCACAGCATGTTATATGCAACCTGCAAGAGATGGTGATTTCCTTTGTGATCTTTGCCTAAGCATCTGTCTAGTTCAGCCTTTCCCAGACTTGGGTAACCAGATGTTGCTGTAGGCCCTAAGACTCGATCCATCCAGAGCATGGGTGTCAAACTGGAGACCTGGGGGCCAGATGCGTCATGCACAGACCATGTCCACCCCAGCTCTACAAAGGGGGGGGGGAAATGTTGCAAAACATTATGTGACGGCAATGTGATGTGGTGAGTTTGACACCCCTGGTCTAGAGAATGCTCACTTGGAAAGGCTACCTTTAAAGCTAAAACATTGTCACACAAACTTAGATCATTGCACTGTTTTTAACTGAGGATGGCATTCCCTGCATCTGACAAAATGGGGTTTGGTCCATAAAAACTGATTAAACCAAGAGGATCTGCATGAAGGTTAAAAAAAATCTAGACACCAACTAAAGTCCCATCATTTATATGTGTGTTGCATATGTGACACACATAAAAGAGGTGGAGCTTTGAAACGCACATACTCCTCCTCCCACTGTGGATGCCCCTAATTAAGGAACTAACACTGTGTTAATTCTTAAGGTGACCCAGGACTCATTTTGTATTTGATAATGATAATAATTGTTAATCCTAAAGAAGGCCAGAGCATCAGTCACCTCATGGAGTTTATCTGCTTTCTGAGTTTGTTTCTTTCGGCTTCTCTGAGCAGCGACTCTGTTCTTCTCTCTCCGTCTTACTCGTCTTTCATCATCATCATGGCTCTAGTCAATAAAATCAGAATATGCTTGTTTAGTTAATGACTTCCTTCTCCACCCCACCAAAAAAAACCCTGCTCAGCATCCAGAAAATCAAGGAAGCTATACTTTCACAAACACACCACTGACAATCTTGTGAGCCCTGAAGACATATTCCAAGAGTGACTGATATTGATATTTCCCTTATATTGCGTGGAAAAGTAATTTACAGATAGGTTGTTGATATGTAAAGACTGGTTACAAGAACTCTTGTGGCTGTATCTGGTTCAAGAGGATGTGAGTGAGCCGGAGTTTGCTTTCTTTTTCCTGGGAAATTTGAACGGTTGTTTTAAAAAATAAAACAAAAGGAAGGAAACCAGATCATCAAGGTTTTGGAATATGTTAATGACACCTGGATCCTATCTTTCCTCCAAGAAAAATAGAAAATATGCAGAAAGTCTTTTATTTTATCGTTTTGTGAGGTCAGGTAAGTCTGAGTCGAGTTAGTAGTGCTGCAATAACATAGCAGGCATAATTAACTCAAAGACCCAATGGCTTGCATTTGCCTAGTGTTACATTTATTAATATTATGCAGCTTAAAATGCTGTGTGAAGTGAATCTTTTTGTTTAGAAACAGGCTAGTTCAATTCAGATTAAGAGTGTCATGTGAATGAAGCCAAATCCAGTCTAATCTATGATTACAAATGGTCAGTAAATTAAGCAGTTGCTAAGCAAGAACTACCTATAACAAAATAGTTCCATTATGCTTTTTTGATTGTTCTCGGAGCCCTTATGTAGAAGCATTTGAAAGTTGAGCCCAGTACAACTAGTAAATATAAAATTACTTTTGAGTAAAAAGACACTGTCTACAAACATAACTCTCCAGCTCCCTTGTTAATTAATTGGATTTACTTGCAGAAGAAGTACATGTCCCAGCACTGTGCAATACCCTTTGCTGATCAAAATTTATTTCGTTAGAAATAGACATTGATTCGACATTTAGGAACAAGTTCCATGTATAAAGTCTTGTAGAGATATCTTAAGAGGTCTCTCCTCCCCCCCTCTCACATACACACTTTTGAATCACAGGAAATCATGTTCAGCAGCTTTGTTGGTTAGAGCACATCAGGATCAAGTTTAAGTTAGTGCAGTGCAAATCATTTGGTGCATAAAAGAGCCAGATTTGAGTGGAGCATGCCTAGATGAAACACATGTATTTGGTCCTGATGTACGACTGAAATACACAAGTGCAACAGAGAAGGATTTGGAGGGAGAACAGGAAAAAGAAATCAAGGACATATCCCTGCTCTTCCCAATTTCTTCTTTGCCTACCTCCTTCGCTCCCTCTGTTGATAGGCTTCAAGCAAAGCAGATCCAATTGCCTGCATGCCTCATTTCTCTTAAATAACAGTAAAGAAAGAAAAGTAAAGGGGAGATCAATAGATAGAGTAGTGACGCCAAAACTGGTAGAATTGAAACCTGTGGGTCTTTTAAATGGGAGAGACAGAAGTATGCTGGTTAGGAAGGAAAGTTAGAAAGGTTGGGAAAGTTAGAAAGGCAGTTTACTATCCACTTTCTAATGCATGATCTCAGAAGCTTTGGGGGCAACAAATATTACTGGAAACTGGGTCAGAAAAAGTTTGTCATAATTAAATCTAAAATCATGAATCAAAATATAAAATGTTTAGATCATATTTTGGGGTAGCAGGTCAGACAAACTGCCATATGTATCGTAATGGGGTTTCTGCTCTACTAAGATGGTAACTGTTTTGCATATCCAAAGGGAAATCCCCATAAGGTATGCTGAACATTCCCAATTTAACTCATGATTTTGCCCTGTTCATATATTCTTTTATCTCTCCTTGTTTTTCTGTTTCTTTAAAAAAGCTTTTTTTTAGTGTGAAAAAGAGTAGAGCCATAAAGTGATGTCTAGGACATTTCAGTAACACAAGATCTGTTCAAGAGACCACAGTACCAGTTAAAAGAATCATGTTAATGTACTCTTGATGGTAATAACATTTTTATATTTGTGAGGTGGATGGATGGAAAGATAAGCAAATTCTATATGGTATAGTGCTATTTAAAATATAGTGAACAACACGCAATTCTGGTTTCAGAAGCGGTCATGTGTGTTTATAATGTTGTTTGATAAAATTAAAGTTTGACTTAGCTATTCCTAATGGCTACATCCGATACACCAATATTCTTGTTTTATTTTATACTTTTGTTTTGAAGTCTGAGAAATTCTCATAATTCATCTGTTGCCAACAAAATATCATCTTGCCTACATCACGTCTGCATCCTGTAATAGCAATGCCACCATTTTTATCTATATTTAAACTGCTTGTGGAATTTAAAATATTTTGATTTAAATCTAGAAGTAGTGTATGAGATAATATCCACCTCAAATGCAGTAAGACATCTCAAGTACCAACAAGCCTCCTTGTTTTACATTTAGGCAGGAAAAATCAAAGGTATAAGTACAGATAAGGTGAGACCTGGCTCAAAAACAGTAACTGTGAGAGGGACCTTGGAGTCCTAGTGGATGATCACTTGAATATGAGCCAGTAGTGTGCAGCCACCATCAAAAAAGCTAATACAATCCTGGGTTGTATAAACAAAGGCATAGAAGATAGGAAAATGAGAGAAATGGAAAGATCTTGCTTCAGATCCATGTCACAATGTATTGTACATTTTTTGCTCTTTCATTTGAAAATGGACATCAGATTACATGATGGATAGGATAGGATAGGATAGGATAGGATAGGATAGGATAGGATAGGATAG